TAGTGGTATTTTGAAATGTGGTTGAAAATACTCGATATAATTTTAAATAAATTGAGTACAAACATTTAAGGCATCGGTTCGTGGTACAACGTTAGTTGTTTGTTTTTTTCCTGTGAGAACTCTATACGGCAAAAAATCAGAAACATTGTTTTTAAAGCAATAATGTTATTCACAATACAATAATGGACCCTAACGTGAATCAAACTCACCTTTTGTCCAATTTCAAATTTTGTCTTTTTTATCACCCCAACGTTTATATCAAATACAGACTGAATGGTTAAGTCTGTAACAACCGTAGGTCTTACACAAAGACAAAATTTAATATGGTACATGTCTATGAACTGCTTTTTGTTCTAATTATCGTCCTTCTTTTCCAGCTTGTCCCTGGTAATGAGCAGACTCGCCCTCCTTAAATCAAAATGCATTTGTGAGGCAGCGTGGTGGAATCGGGCTCTCGTCAAAATAATGAAATCGAAGAAAACAGCAGCTTTCTACTTGCTTAGCAATTTTTTATCATTTTTTTTTTGGGGGGGGGGGGGTCCAGACCTTTTATGTCCATTTACAAACACATCCCTTTGAGGATTTCACCGAAAACGTTCATTAAAGGCACAAAAACATAAATTTACCGTTTCCATGGACTCTCCAGCTTTGGAATTTACCAGCTTTGGCGGCCATTTTCTCTCTAATTTTACCTCTTAAACCAGGTGACCCCCACCTCCTTCAATCCAAAACATCTCCGCTTCTATTGAAGATGGATGGGTAATTTTTTCATTGAAAGCAAGACAAATGAACAAGCTTTAAGATGATACCAGTAACTCAATATGCCCAAAAATTGACGAGAGCCTGATTCCGCCACGCTGCCTCACATTTTAAAAACGCGGAAAAACTATGATTGTAACAAATATCTCGGAAGTACACTGTCTTCAATTGTCCTCATCCATACATATATTATTATTATACCTTTATCTATGAAAAAAGCTAGTGCATCTTTTGGAAGCTTTAGCAGGGGTTTGGGACTGATGAGACATTCGTACCGAGACAAAGTTGAAAGTCTGCAATGCTGTAGTCCTCCCAACCCTGTTGTATGACACCGAGATATAAGTGGTGCACCAAAGCCATGCCAAGAGGCTTATAATTTTCTCATGAAATGCATCGGGAGAATTCTTGAATCAAATTTTAATGGCACGAAAAAATGCCAGACACCGAAGTTCACAGAAGGGTAAATGCCGAGTCTTTTTCTAAGCTCAAAGGGTCTCAACTTCCCTTGTTTGTAAGAATGCCTGATTTCAAATTCCTGGGTGAAAAAGAGGCGATCAGTTGAAATATTAAATAAATAAATTTTTAACGGATCCTTTGGTGTGGAGAATCCAGTCAAGGGATGCAACCTGTAAAATGGATCGATATTAAAAAGAACAGCATCTGGTATTAATTTTTTTTTTTATAGCACGTACTGTTAGAATTTTATATTATTATAAGATTAGATAACGGAAATAACTCTAATAAAGGCCTTAAAAAACACACAGTCCACTGTAGCAAAGTCACTCATTGTATTCATGTTAGGAAACCTGTACGTACCGTATATAACAAAGTTGAAAAAAACTTACAAATAAATTACAGCAGATCAAGATGATGGAAAATAAAAAGGAGTGGGATACCATTATCGTCAATGTAGGTCCAGACCTGACACATGAAAAAACAACAAAAGAATGTTGAAAAAAATTCCAGAAAATCATGGTGGTAACTTTTTTTTTTTAAAGCTCGTATTAATACTACTACAGTAAGAATTTGGGACATTAACTCAAGTAACTGTAAAATTTTGCGCCGCATACAGCTAATAAGGCTGAGAAAAAGTGGATATTATAATGTATTATAATAATTACATGACTGTTTTGGTAAATGCAATGGGTGTTGGTGCATTGTCTATCCAATTTCTTCACTACCCCTGTCTGTCTGTCTGTCTGTCTGTCTGTCTGTCTGTCTGTCTGTCTGTCTGTCTG